GAGAGAGAGAGAGAGAGAGAGAGAGAGAGAGAGAGAGAGAGAGAGAGAGAGAGAGAGAGAGAGAGAGAGAGGGCAAAAGTCAAGCATTCAAATGATGTGTGACACATGTGCTGGGCGCGGGTGCTGGCGATGTGTGATTGTCTTTGGCGGGGTGTCTTTGCAGGGTTGACTTCTGGATTCGCCTTATCCACAAGTTGTTGGGTGCCACGTGTCTTTTGACGCCAAACCTGACAAGCTACGGTTTACTACGGGTGGCCGAGCCCGTCTGGCAAATCAAATCTTGGAAGTTGAGAGAGATGGGGGGTGCATGTCAGATGACCGTCCTTCAATTTGCTGTGCAGACGACAGTCGGTGCGGCACGTCACGGCTTGTTATCTCTTCCCCAGAGAGGGGTGGAGATTGCGACACCTGCTGTGGTTCTCTACACGCGCCGCGGCCTTCCCGTTCATCTGACCGCCGACCTGCTTAGGACCCTCGGTCCCGATGCCCGGTCATTACAAGTCAATCCCGTGCATTTCCTGGAGAGCCCCGGCCCTGATATTGTACAAGTTGCTGGCTCCATTCATGATCTCCTGAGCTTTCACGACTATGCCTTGTTCGCGCTCACATCCGATCCGCTAGAGTTCGAGGCCGGTGGCACGACCACAAAGACCAGCGCATCTTTTGAAACCCCCGCCGGCCGCCGTTCTGTCACCATTTCTCAGTACATGGAAGTAATTAACGCGATGAAGCCTGACGTGGCAGCCAGCTTGACAGATGAGATCTTGGCCACGTCCTCAGCGAAGCGGACCATCAAGTCGGTCGATCGATCCCTCCGTTGGCTCGACTCTTGCCTAGACCTCCGTGCTACTGGTAGCCTGGATCTTCCCATCTTTGGCTCCATTCAGGGTGGGGGTATGATTGCAGAACGTGAACGGTCTGCTTGCGAAACTGCTAAACGGGAGGTAGCAGGGTTTCATCTTGGAGGGTTCGGACGAGGAGAGACTTATGAGGAACGCAGTTTGCTATTGCAGGCTGCAATCAACCACCTTCCCCCTGAGAAACCCCGGCATATCAGCGGTCTGGGCGTTCCGGAAGATGTACTCCAAGGGATCTCAGCAGGCGTTGACTTGTTTGATGGCTCCTATGCGCACAGATTGACGATGGGCGGTTTTGCGATGGTGTTTCCTCCAGATGAAGAGGAGGATGACGTGGCATTTCGTAATGGTGTCCATGTGGCGTTGGGATCTGCAGTAGCTGCTCAGAATGGTCAGGCCAAGGGGAACGGCGTCATCGGTGGCATGGCGAATGGAGGAGGAGGAGGAGGGAGGAATGAGAGTGCTCAGCGGTATGCTGCCGAAGTTGGGGAGGCTGATGCTGATGGTGCAACTCTTGTAGAGCTCAAGAGTCATCGTGGGAGAGAACGGGGACGAGATGGGAAGAAGGACAAGGTGGGAAAAGGAGAATTGCCAGAGGAGCATGGTGGTGTTGTTAGTGGTGCTATCAATTTACGATCGACTGCGTATCGCCTCGATGGACGTCCTATCCTCGCGGGGTGCGAATGTTTCAGCTGCCGCAACCATTCTCGTGCCTACATTCACCATTTGCTAAACACAAGTGAAATGCTGGCACAAGTCCTCCTTGACATTCACAATATTCATCACTACCTGCGGTTTTTCCGAGCAACGAGAAGAGCTATCTCTGAAATGCGCTTCTCAGAGTATTGCAATTGGTTTCTGAAACGCCGTCTCGATTGTTCAAATGGCCGTCCTGCTTCGCAAAAGAGATTTGTAATGGAAGAATGCCATTCCAGGCAAAAATATTCTGAAAAGGCATCCTTGTTGCCCTTGTCTGTAGGGACATTTTGACCGTGAATGATGGGCAACAGAGTAGGAGTTGCTACAGTTTTGGATAAATAAGTGGACGAGTGGACAGGATAGGTATAGAGAGACAATAGACACTAGGTGAGTAATTGATAGCTGAGTGCGTAGATAAATAGGTATAGACTTGCAAATATTTATATATAGGTAATCATAGGTAGGTAGGTAGGGAGGTAGGTGATCATACGGAGGTACAGGAAACGTCCTGTAATTGTTCACTTATTTTCCCAGTGGTGTTCCTTTGCGGCATCTATGTTAATTTTCAGATCTTGAGAGTTCCTTTCTTAGTCATCATGATTTTTCACACCACAGCCTCACCTGGTTGGGGCTTGCAGAAGCATTATCAACGTCAGCATTGCTAATCCTTGTGTCATTGATGTACGTACACACAAGCCACGCACACACAGACAGACGTATCTTTGTACATACATATACACATACTGTATGCATGTATGCATGCATGCATGCATACATGTACATGCATACGTACATACGCATGTGCATATGTACGTACATACTTTCTTTGCACTTTGCATGTAACGTGCATACGTAGATACGTACGTACGTACTACACTTGCTATACTTACAAACATACATACACTACATACATACATGCATGCGCGTATCTATGTATGTATGTAGATACATACAATGTTTACAAACGTACCTATGTACGTTTATACCAACATACATCCATACATACACGCACACAAGGGGGATCATAATGTGTGCAAACATCAGCGAGCATGATGCTGCCAACCTTTGGCCATACCCAGACAAAGCGTGCAGCCATGGCCAGAGTCCAGCACTGAAGAGATGCAGCTTCCAAAGGTGAAACCATGGCCGTTGCCACTTCTTCGGCTGTTGAACCTCTCAGCCACAGGACGAACCATATTGATCTGAAAGATGTACGGTGACAGCAAGCGTGTGGCAGCACCTGGTCATTTGGTGCCCCTTGACTGTTTTTTGCCTTGCCTGAGAGGCCCTGATCAACATCACTTTCCCACATTTAATTCAAACGAGAAGTTTCGAGTTCCGGGGCCTTATCTCACCACTCGCCGAATGCAATAACTGGTTAGAAAGCGTATCTCGAAATGCAGGTGGCAAGGTACGTTTGCCATCATTTACATTTTTGGCCACGAGTGGTTAACAGGGCCCCCCACTGAAAAGTGTATATGAGGAGTTTTTTTCTTAGTTTTTAGTTCTTACGTTTTTTTTTGGCCTTGTTTTATTTTTGGTGAAGGTCTGCGTGTGCATGCCAAGGTTGGTGTTTGTTGGGGTCTTGGAGATGACTGTTTTAGCCAGCCCTGAAAATCCTGAAGATCGTGAAAAAATGGAAAAGAGCGAATTTTGCATGAAAACACACTTTTGCCTTGGGTGCTGTAACTCGTGTGCCAAATTGAGCCGCTGGGTCCTCGCCGCACCCGCAGACAAGTATGAATGGGCAGGCTTGAAAATAGAGGGGTCAAACAAGCCTCAGAAAAGGCCCAGGCCGACGGTTGACCGAAAAGTCTTAAAGTCAGCTTGTCGACCCAGGCCGAGATCCGAGAAGTCAAAGTCAGCACAGAAGATTTTTCTGGCCATTGATCTCGAATGATCTAACAGTGGTCTGCAGGTTCCGAAAGATTCAGGCCTCAAGGAGTCCAGACCAAAACTGGGACACATTGGAAGATCTGGGCCCTCACATGGACCGACGCCGTCCAAGGACAGGTGAGTCAACGCTATACAATATATATATATATATATATTTAAAGAAAATTCAGAAAAATCCATGTAAGAGTGAGTCAGCACTATATTAAGTTGACCTCGCCAGTACTTGGGCATTCAGTCTTGCGAGTTGCTTGCGGCTACGACGCTGCTCATGGGACTTGAGAGGAGATGCTGGTGCTAGACTGCTGGATGGGCGCCAACAAGATATTATAGTAGTGAGATAGGGGGAGGGCGGCCAAGGCGGCAACCGTAGAAGACGGCAAGGGAATGAGGAGAGGGGGAGAGAGAGTGTGGGTGATGTGAGTCATCCTGCGTACGTACCTCGTTGCTTCAGATGTGAAGCTGCTGCAGATTCTGCTCACTGTTGGAGGATCGTTTATGTGTGACGGGATGCTTCCATATCGCCCACGTGTTACACGGAGTGCTGACGTGGCACATTGAGTGCATATTGTTGACGTGGCACATTGTGTGCATGTCGTTGATGCTGATGTGGCATATTGAGTACGAAGTGTCGCAGTGTGTGCATATTGCTGACGCTGATGTGGCATATTGAGTACGGAGTGCTAGCGTGGCACCTTGAGTATATTGCTGATGTGGCGCATTTAGTGGATATTGCTGACGTGGCAGAGCTGGGGAGCCTGGAGGATAAGAGGGCATTGCACTTTTTTCTTCCAACTGTCTATTCTCTCCTCCTCTCCTTTTCTGGATATTGACGACTGTGAGACATACACGTGGTAATGAAGAAACAAGCACTTCGATGACTTCGAACTGATGGACTTATTGGGTTGATTATCTTACGACATTGCACAACATTGTTATCTGTGACAGGATTGTCTAACGAGATTGGTTTCATTAAAATTTGGTATGAAAGCTCGTCGATTTGCTGCTCGATTGAAGACGACTGCGTGATAGAAGTTGAAGATATCTCTCTGGTAGAGTGCGGACGTGGCACTTGCAGAGTGGTAATCATATGCTTGCGTCCAGGTGGTGCTCGTTGGCTGGTCCCCGCAAGGGAATAGATTGCCAAACTAGTCTCTCTCTGAAAAGGGTGTTGATATGGCGAAGGCAGAGCGATGCTTACCTTTAGGCCTGCGCTGACGTGGCACTCGATGGTTGGTTCCCGTGAGAGAATAAATCGCCAATAGATGTTGTGCTGATTGAAGAGCATTGAAGAGGACGACAGAACCAGCGCTGATGTGTCATACAGTGTTGAAGAGAGCATTGCCCACGAGGCATACTGGTGATAGCCTTGTCCATGTGGCATACCGGCGAGAGCATTGTCCACGTGGAATCCTAGTGATAGCGTTGCCTACGTGGCATACTGAAGAGAGAACCGCTGCAGTTATTGAAGATAGGCCGACGAGGAACCGGAAGAACAGCGGGATGATGTGTCCCGTTGAGTGTTGATATGAGCCAGGCCTTGATTGACCCTGATTTGACTTACCTCACTGATGTGTTCATTGATGCTGACGTGGACTAACCTGTGCGGTTTCTGATGTTGTCTGGCATGCAGACTGCCTGTTGATGATTCGTGAAAGCACGGCCAGAAGAAATCGACACACATTGTAAACAGCATCGAAAGCAGCAAAGCACATTGAAAGGGAATAATAGATTACGAGCTTAGTATTGATATTGGATTTCATTTATTTCTGTTGTTCTGAAATTTTGACGAGATTGCGGAACAGATAATTGTATAGTCTGGTTGTGTAGTATCTCCAAGGATGGCTTCCTTATGTAGCAGCCTGCGGCTGTCTGTGTTGACGAAGTTCATTCCCATGTTTTTGCATCTGGTCTCACTGACCATGTACGCCGACGAAGAACCGTGTACAAGTGGGCAAGCGAATGTCCGCAGGGATCAAGAGAAGTTAAGACTGCGGCGGGTCCTCACTGAAATTTACGATGTTGGCCCGAAAGCAGAAACCCATGTCCGGACCCAGTTTGACCTGCGTAGTTTTGAAGAACGATTAGACCAGGCTGCGTCGGGTGTTGACCTTCTCCATGTGGCAGGGGAAATAAACCTGGTTTTAGCCAGGGCTCGTCACAGTCTGGACCAATTCGTCGCTGAAATGGTGGCCAGAAATGTTAAGCAAATGAAGAAGAAGAAGACAAAAGAAAAGAAGGGGAAACAAGTGCGGCAACCAGACATGAACTAAATGAGGATGTAGTTGACCAAAATATCAGACAGCTAGAAGAAGCATTGCAGGCAGAAAAGAAGAAGAAGGAAGCCATAGAACAACAAAGGAAGAAGGAAGAAGAAGAAAGAAAACTGAATGACATGCGAAATAGAGTTAAAAGTGGAATAAGGAAGTGACGTTGCGACTCTCATTCAGAATATGATGTCGCATTTGGTTCCTTTGGAAACAAAACTTGACCAAGTCATCGCCGGTAAGAACCTGCTTTCTGTGCAGCTGCCAACGTTGATCGATGGGAAGCAGCTTCACTTGATGAATGGCTTTATAAATGTGGCCCTTATGAAATGATTGTCCTTCATTTCTTACTGGGTGTAGCTTGTTATATGGGTCGTGAATGGGAACTTAGCTTCCGTTTGGGCATGCGTCCTTGGATTGCTGTTGCATGCGGTCAAGCAAAAGCAGCCAATGCCCAGGGAAGAACAGGAGAAGACTAAGGAAGAGCCGAAGCTTGAACCAGAAAAGAAATTAATGGGAGTTGCAATGAAGACCCCCCCCAAGAAGAAACCTCAAAGAAAGAGGTATGGAGGGAGAAAGTAAAAATGAAGTTTCCCTTCACATACAACAGTAAGAAAGGAGAACACCTGTTGTTGTGGATTGTTGAAGTACAGACATATTACTCGACGACTGCGGTAGACGAAGATAGTCAGGTGGCGTTCACCACCTCAAGTCTTGGCGAAAATGTCAAGGCATGAGCATTGTTTGAAGCGAATGCCGCTGGATTCAAGTTTATTGGGGATTGGACAAAAATGTTGGCATTGAGAGAATTTATGAAGAAGATTAAAGAAAGATTTTTGGATAAGACCACAACAGATAAGGCATTTGACGAGCCGACCTCGTTGTCCCAGCTCCACTGGACGTCTGTTAACATGCTTTCTCTTGAGGTAGATCGTTTGCCGCAGGTACCCGGCTTGAACATACATGAGGACCAGATCATGTACGTCTACTCATGTGCACTACGTGGACCTATCCGTGGACAACTAGTTGCTGAGTCAATATCAGGGAAAGTTGGGAAACACAATTATCGTAAGCTCTGAGATCTCGCTCTGCAGCGAGAATAGATGACCCCCCAGGTCAAGGGTACTTATGGTGGGGTTATTAGGTCTGGACAAGGGGGAGGATAAGGGAAAAGAGTTATATGGAGACAAAAGAGACAAAGACCACATATTCGTTGTTTTCGATGATTGCGCAATTGAGAAGTGACCCCTCGAAGGAAGCGAGGGACAGGTAAGTGCGGGCGGCGAATCAGGAAAGGGTGATGTCACCGTCGTAGTTGTCAACAAGGGTGACAATGATAATAAGAATGAAAATGGATACAAGAAGAGACCGTGTTCCTTTTCAACTCATCCTGGCATAGGTGTTGGAAAGCTATCGGAGAAGTTGGACATTTCCCATGACACATCGCCAGTGCTTGAAGTGCGACACTGTGGGGCGTATAATAACATGGTGCCCTCTGATAAGGAACCCAAAGGGGAGCAGCGTGTAGGAGTAGCATCTGGTACTACTAAGCTAGAGAGTGCAAACGTAGAGCCGGCGCCGAAAACCCCTCTCCACTCTTCAACTCCCATGGCAGAGGATGTCTCTTCCTTGGCCCCTTACTCAGATCGCCATAAACCTGTTATGTGTCGGGTTCCTCTGGGTGAGACCCTTGATGGGCTTGTCAACAAACTGATGAACCTAGGAAGCTCATGGGCTAAGAAGGCAAAGTCTAAGGGCGAGCTAATGCTTGCAGATGAAGAGATTTCTTGAACACGAACCGGTGCTCTAGTAGACCCGGACTCGACTAGATCCTACATATCTGAGGGCGCTGTAAAGAAAATGCACTTAAGTATGCGAGTGAAAAGTCTAGCAAAGCCCATTGTCTCTATGTTGGCAGATC